GAAAAATTTCCAAAACACTTAAATAATCTTAATTAGGTCATGACAATTTCGGGAAAAGTTTTGCGATCAGGTGTTTAGCAGAAATCAAGCGCACTGTATGATTCGCATGCGGTTGCCGTTCTAGCGATTTTTCCGCAATTTTTGTTTTCCTTTTTTTGTGGGGGGGGGGGTAGAGGAGAGTTTATAACGTAGCGGAAAGTTTTAGACAGTTTTCTCTATATTAAGCGATTATTAACTTATCTTTAGCTGGAAATGAGTTTTTACTGTCTAGCGTTTTTTTAGAGTCGTTTATCGGTTTTGTGGAAATATCATTGGCAATACTGTTTCCGTATTTTGTTGTATTTATATCGATTTTCCCAATACAGCTATCATTATCACAATATTTTGTTATTGATGAAACGGAAGGAAAAACAACCTGTAGGCAAGTTCAGATGAACAGGACATTGTTTTATCTTTCTTTCTCTCTCTCTTCTCTCCCTCTCTCTCTCTCTCTCTCTATCTATCTATCTATCTATCTCTATCTCTCTCTATCTGTCTATCCACCTAACACCTATCCACCTCTCTATCTATCTATTATCTCTCTCTCTCTCTCTCTCTCTCTCTCTCTCTCTCTCTCTCTCTCTCTCTCTCTCTCTCTCTCTCTCTCTCTCTCTCCTCTCTCTCTCACTCTCTCTCTCCCCTCCGACCCCTCTATTTCTAGCTTTCTCTCTCTCTTCTCTCTCTCCCTATCTCTCTCTCCTATCTCTCCTCTATCTCTCTATCTCTATCTCTCTCTATCTATCTATCCACCTCTCTCTATCTATCTATTATCTTTCCATCTCTCTCTCTCTCTCTCTCTCTCTCTCTCTCTCTCTCTCTCTCTCTCTCTCTCTCTCTCTCTCTCTCTCTCTCTCTCTCTCTCTCTCTCCCCTCCGACCCCTCTGTTTCTATCTTTCTCTCTCTTTTCTCTCTCTCTTTATCTCTCTCTATCTATCTATCTATCTATCTATCTCTATCTCTCTCTCTATCTATCTATCCACCTCTCTCTATCTATCTATTATCTTTCCATCTCTCTCTCTTTCTTTCTCTTCTCTCTCTCTCTCTCTCTCTCTCTCTCTCTCTCTCTCTCTCTCTCTCTCTCTCTCTCTCTCTCTCTCTCTCTCTCTCTCTCTCTTCCCCCTCCCACCCCTCTGTAATTATTAAGAAGTAAACAACGAGAGTGAGGGAAGGTTTGGTTATGGAAGATAACGATAATTAAATGGAAGTCACTTCACAGACTGAACAAGTCATCAGTAGAGAATTACTTTATATTTCATTAATTTTTTGTTATTTTTATATTTATTATTTTTTTAGTTATGTAGTTCTAAATATTTTTGTAATGCATTAAATATTTCGTTCTTTTTATTTGTAATGTCAGTCGTTTTCAATAATTATATCATGTAAAGTTAATTTCTTACCTATCGTAAAAAAAAAAAAAAAAAAAATATATATATATATATTATATATATATATATATATAATATATATATATATATAATATATATATATATATATATATATATATATATATATATATATATATATATATATATATATATATATATCAAGGTTCATAAAAACAGCCCAAGTTATTAAAGCTGCAGCCAGGTGTATTCTAACTGGTCGTAATTCGATAGAATAATTAGAGAATCTCCTGTGTGTGGGTAATTTTAGCATTTATATACACACATGTGCGTTGCGGAGCACTTGTGACCGCCAAACATCAATCAGTGATGTCAGAACTTGTTAACATTTCCTATCGAAAAATTTGCTCAAGTATCGCTCCTGTATTCCGTAATGACGTAGTTGCTCCTCTTATATTGTCCGAAATTATATCATTATCATTATTCATTTTTATTATCATTATCGTCCGTATTGCTACCGCCAATGCTTTAACTCGATCCTACCACGATGTTTTTCTTCACCGTGCAAATGTATGATATGTCGTTTAATTCACTTGTCATTATCGTTATAGCTATACAATCATGTTATTTACGTAATGGTGATTATTAATATATTATTTTTGTTTACCTCATCTTACATTCAAAGAAAACGGACATGATTCATCGACCTCACAGAAAATGTACTACTTTTAGGGGAGACTTTTTCTTTATTTTTTGTTTCATTGGGGACGAGAGGCACAGATTTAATCATTGTTCAAATATGATCATCCTTTACAAATAAAAATCTTTCTATACAGTGTCAATGATTACAATACCGTTATCTCTGAAAAGTAGATCGGAATGAAAATGGCAACACCACTATCATCTTATTTCAAACCATAATCACGAGCGCATGTACCAAGTCTATTTTTTTCTAGCGATGTGAATTGTCATTATCCCTACTGTCATTATTGTTATTGTTGCCATTATTGTCTTGTAATTAACGATCACAAAATTTAACCAAAACATTTGTCTGTTGGAGCGCAATCCTGTTTATTATTGTCATTATTCCTGTTTCTCGTGCTCACTCCTAATACATTTTTATTATTTGTTAATCAATACAGTTAATAAAGCAGTGTAGGCACAAATCATAGTATGCAACTTGCAACAGTGAGATAAAGATGGTAGATATGACGAAACATAGAATAAGTTACATTAACGATGATATAGTATTGATAAGGCAAACTAAAAATAAATATCTGCTTGGTGATCTTATAAACCAGTTCGCACTGCATTTTTTAATACCAATATGGTGAAGTATATCAAGCTATTCATATAACTCACGCATACACACGTTCTCTTTCTCTCCATCTCTATCTCCCTCTCTCTCCCCATCTCTATATCCCTTTCTTTCACTCCTCTCTCACTCTTTTTCTCTCTCTCGGCACTCTTTCAATGCTCCCCCCCTTTGTCTCTCACTCTTTCTCTTTTCTTTCTTCTCTTCCACAGCCTCCCCCCCCCTGTCTCTCTGTTTGAAAATTCGTTTATTGTGTTAATTGTATTGATACCATATTTTGGTTTCCCTCTTTTTCTTGTCTTCTTTCTTTCATTCTCTTATCTCTCGTGTATTCTCTCTATCAGTCTGTCTATCTATCCCTCTATCTATCTATCTATACACACACACACACACACACACACACACACACACACACACACATATTATATATATATATATATATATATATATATATATATATATATATATATATATATATATATATCGAATATCGTTCCATGTCACATCATAGAGCTTTTTATACGAAATGGCAATATTGAATCTTACTTGATTAGAAGTGAATAGTTTATATATTTGATACAAACTTGTTAAAAGGAAGAATTTAAACAAAGCGAGAATTGAAGTCCGTAAAAATCCATGTTTGTCCTTAATTCTTGCTGATGAAATGGAATTCAAATATTTCAATAACTGTTGATAACCTAAAGACTGTCATCCTTTCCTCCTATCAGATTTTGTTATCCTTCTATAATTATTACACAGTAAAAAGGTGAGAAAAAAATTCCCACCCAGTCCGTCCAGGTGGGATCGTCAAAATTGCCGTTGCACTCCCTCCCTCCTAATATTGTCAAAGGTCCGGAATAATGATAGTTACCCCTACAAGTTAGAGTATGGGGTACTCTTTAAAGAAAACTAATAGTAAGGGGAGACTATTTTAATTTAGAGGGATACGTTTTGTATTCATCTATTATCTTATTCTTAGATGCGATTCCCTGGTCATTTCGATCTTTCTCGTCGCACCCTCGAGCGTCGCACCTTGAGGGTTAACCTCTGCTTGCAGAACTAGTACATTTTCCATCGAAGTCGTAATCTTAATTGTATTCTTTATACTACAGGTATTTGTGTCATATTTTTTTAGTGGTTTTACATTGATTTACTGGCTTGCATTTTTTTTTTATTCGATTGCTTTAAACCAAAGGAAGTCGTCAGAAAAGAAGAATCAATAACTTAAATAAGGCGATTTAAGGAGGGTGGCTCTTGGTCACGCACATACACACACACGCACACACACATATAAATCTATATGTGTGTGTGTGTGTAAACTTTTTTTATAATGTTTAAATATTTTCTCTATTATTCCATACTTATATTACGAATGACGTGGGCGTTTCAGAAATTGAAAATCCCTATGAAGGCCAGAAGTATTGTGGGAGATGAAAAAATAAAAGCAGAATTAGCTCTGTTATTGCAAATTTACGTCAGATAATGACCGTCCACGTTACTCATGTTAAATATTACCGTTTTTTTTAAATAACTCCGACTCGGTCAACCAGAACCAGCATACCGATTTTATTCCGCTTTTAACTGAGTGTCATGCTGCTGCCTTCCACATGGCTGCCACCCTTAAAGATCTATGACCTCGAGATGCCACCCTTAAAGATCTATGACCTCGAGATGCCACCTCGAGATGTTCTGGACCTCGAGATGAGATCTATGACCTCGAGATGCCACCCTTAAAGATCTATGACCTCGAGATGCCACCCTTAAAGATCTATATCGATGATCGAGATGACCCTAAAGATCTATGACCTGAGATGCCACCTCGAGATGCCACCCTTAAAGATCTATGACCTCGAGAGGGGTCACTTTTGGGGTGTCTGGCTCGGACCCCCACCACTGAAAATGTCTGTCACTGCTTATTTCTGATAAAATGGGCATTACTGATGAATTTGAAATTGGTTTCAAGTTGTTACCTCATGGGCTGAGCTAGCATATTTTGTTGCCCAGGAAAAATGTCTGCCATTTATCATTTCTAATACACTTTATTATGCTTATTACATTTTTGACGTTTTTCTTAGTTCCTTACAAGACCTAAGCTAGCTCAAATTTTCCATATATTATCCTGCCCCTGTGTACTACACCCACCAGCAGGGGACCGGCAGAATTCCATTTCTTTGACTGTCCACGTACATAAATCACTGCTGGGCACAACTAATTTTGTTACCTTTCCAGCCCGGCTGACCCCTGTGGCTTCTGCTCTATATTAGGTCTGAACTCCAACATTGTTGCATGTAATAAAAAAAAACTCATTTCGAACAAAATTTTATTAAGAAATAAAAATTTGCTTACATCTCAGCCGTGCAGTGACAAAGGGAACGAAATATCTTTAAGTAGTGATATACATGAACAGTCATACTTACAGACAAATAAGGAGTTGAAAATTTACAGAAATTCCAACAACAGTGCATCTGATTCTTATACCTTATTGACATTTGTTTGCTTTTACGTTTATCATTATTATTATTTTTTTTTTTATCTCAAAAACAATGTATATTGATGCCTTTTTAAATATTCTAGGCCATCGCAACAATGGCAGAGAAATACAAAATTACAAATTATGATTTTTTGGAACTAAATAAACCATTGCCTTGACCTTCATCTATACTATCACCAAGGGACGCAGCGTAGTACTTATTACCATCAGACAGCAATAACAGAAAACAATACAAAATCACGTATTGAAAGTAACAATGCATTGGTTCAAAAATAGTATTGGTTAACTGTGTATTACATAACCTTGACACTGATTTAAATGGGGGAAAATACTCGCCCTATCCATCGCCGAATACCTATTGTTTAATAAGTTGGTGACAAAACAAGAATTCAGGAAAAAAAAATCAAGGTTAAAAAAGACGTCTAGACTAATCTGTGTAACGCCAGGCTGAGAGACATTGTTTATAAAATATTCATATAAAACTACCTCCATGATGGTTTGAAAGAAACAGCATTTAGTGCCTTAGAAGAAGTAGGATCTCCGCTTGGCAGCATCATAGGTGATAGGACAGTGTTCTTTGGCAATTGCATCATAGATCCCCTTGCTTCCTATTTTAATGGGCGTCTTCTTGCTGAGCTTGTTATACAGATGTACGATGTAGGCGTCTGGATGGTTCTGAAAGAGGGAAAAGTTCAGCATGAGTATGGAGGGAAAAGTACAGTACATTCAGCATGGGTATGGATGGTCCTGAAGAGGAAAAGTACATACATTCAGCATGGGCTGGAGGGAAAAGTACAGTACATTCAGCATGGTACGGAGGGAAGTATTACATTCAGCTATGGAGGGGGAAAGTACAGGCATTCAGCATGGGTCTTGGAGGAAAGTACAGTACATTCAGGCATGGTACGGGAGGGAAAAGACAGCATTCAGCATGGGTTTGGAGGGAAAAGTACAGTACATTCAGCATGGGTCTGGAGGAAAAGTAAGTCCGGCATGGTTTGGAGGGAAAAAGCATTCAGCATGGTCTGGAGGGAAGAACAGTACTTTAGCATGGGTATGAGGGAAAAGTTACAGTGTGCATTCATTATGGCAGTGGGGTATGGAGGGAAAAGTAAGTCCAGCATGGGTTTGGAGGGAAAAGTACAGTACATTCAGCATGGGTATGGGGGGGAAGTACAATGCATTCAGCATGGGTATGGAAGGTGCATTCAGCATGGGAGTGGCATGGGTTTCTGGAGGGAAAAAGCAGTTACAACATTCAGCATGGGTATGGGGAGGGAATTCACATGGGTGGAGGGAAAAGTGCATTCAGCATGGGTTGGAGCATTCAGCAGAAAAGTACAGTGCTATTCACATGGGTCTGGAGCGGGTACAAAAGTACAGTGCATTACAGTGCATGGTTGGAGGGAAAGAGTACCAGAAAAGCATTCAGCATGGGTATGGAGGGCAAAAAGTACAGTCATTCAGCATGGGTTTGGAGGGAAAAGTACAGTGCATTCAGCATGGTATGGGGGAAAAGTAGCCAGCATGAGTATGGAGGGAAAAGTAAGTCCAGCATGAGTATGGAGGGAAAAGTAAGTCCAGCATGAGTATGGAGGGAAAAGTACAGTGCATTCAGCATGGGTATGGAGGAAAAGTACAGTGCATTCAGCATGGTATGGAGGGAAAAGTACAGTGCTTCAGCATGGGTCTGGAGGGAAAAGTACAGTGCATTCAGCATGGTTTGGAGGAAAAGTACAGTACATTCAGCATGGGTATGGGGGGGGGAGTACAATGCATTCAGCATGGGTATGGAGGGAAAAGTACAGTGCATTCAGCATGGTATGAGGGAAAAGTACAGTACATTCAGCAGCAGCAGTGCATTCAGTATTGGAGGAAAAAGTACATGCATTCAGCATGGGTTTGGAGGGAAAGTACAGGCATTCAGCATGGTATGAGGGAAAAGTACAGTGCATTCCAGTGCATTCAGCATGGGTTTGGAGGGAAAAGTACAAGTCAGCAGTACAGCATTCAGCATGGGTTTGGAGGGAAAAGGTGCATCAGCAGTATGTACATTTCAGATAGGTATGGAGGGAAAAGTAAGTCCAGCATGAGTATGGAGGGAAAAGAGCGTACAAAAATGGTAAGTGCATTCAGCATGACAGTCAGCAAGTATGGAGGGAAAGTTAGCAGGCCATTCAGCATGGGTATGGAGGGAAAAGTACATGCATTCAGCATGGTATGGAGGAAAAGTACAGTACATTCAGCATGTATGGAGGGAAAAAGTAAGTCCAGCATGAGTATGGAGGAAAAGTACAGTACATTCAGCATGGGTATGGAGAAAAGTACAGTACATTCAGCATGGTATGAGGGAAAAGTAAGTCCAGCATGGTATGGAGGGAAAAGTACAGTGCATTCAGCATGGGTATGGGGGGGGGGGAATACAATGCATTCAGCATGGGTATGGAGGGAAAAGTACAGTGCATTCAGCATGGTATGGAGGGAAAAGTACAACATTCAGCATGCATGAGTATGGAAAAAGTACAGTCATTCAGCATGGTATGGAGGAAAAGTTACATACATTCAGCAATGGGTATGAGGAAGTACAGTACAGTACATTCAGCATGGGTATGGAGGGAAAAGTATTCAGCATGGTATGGAGGGAAAAGTACAGTACATTCAGCATGATATGAGGGAAAAGTATAAAAAGTACATTCAGCATGGGTATGGAGGGAAAAGTACAGTACATTCAGCATGGGTATGGAGGAAAAGTACAGTACATTCAGCATGGTATGGAGGGAAAAGTACAGTACATTCAGCTATGAGGGAAAAGTACAGTACATTCAGCATGAGTATGGAGGGAAAAGTACAGTACATTCAGCATGAGTATGGAGGGAAAAGTACAGTACATTCAGCAAGAGTCAGCATGGAGGAAAATACAGTACATTCAGCATGGGTATGGAGGGAAAAGTACAGTACATTCAGCAAGTAAGTCCAGCATGGTATGGAGGGAAAAGTACAGTACATTCAGCATGGGTATGGAGGGAAAAGTAAGTCCAGCATGAGTATGGGTGCTCATGTGTAAACTCCTGAAGACGAAAAAAAAAACAAAAATATAAAATAAAAATAAAAAAAACTAGCCTTCGAGAAGTGTTCTCCCTTGTCGTCATGGAAGAACTTCTTCCACAGGGGCCAACGCAGGAGCTGCATCTCCCTCAGAGGTCTCAGCTCCACACTGTCGCATTGGTGGAGATACACTTCATTCAGGTCCTTGTTTTTACACAGCTTTTTCGCCACTTCTGTCGCTGCCCCGGGACCGTTGACCTTCCACGTTGCGATCTGAAAGTAGGAAAGGGGGGGGGGGGTACAGTGGCAAGGTATCCGACAGTATAGGGCATCGAATTATTTATTTGATTCTAAATGTAGTCACGGTTTCATCGGGGAAAGGGTTAGTTTAGTTCGGATGGACTCGTTCGTTTATGAAGGCGCGTGGACACACACACATACACACACACACACACACACATACACACAACACACACATACACACACACACACATACACACACAAAAAAAGAAAGCTTTAGCTAATATTTACTTTCCCTCTCATGCCACTTATTGCAGGACATCTGATTGGTTGCTGGTTCTACGTTATAGCTATGTTATCTTTGTTGCTTAATCTGGTGACCAATGTGCACTTACAGATAACACTGGCTCTAGAACTCAGAATTGTAATATTGTTTTGATAAGGTCAATTTCCGTGTTACGCTTAAACCTGACGCACTCTGAATTCCTATGCATCTGTTGTATGATACGCTATTTCTATATATATCTTTTAAATAACATTTTTCAGCACCGCCGTACCAGACCGCACGTGCCTCTCGCTTGAGTAACGCCGCTCATCGCACTTCGCACGAGGTCTTATTCCTTGTTTTCGCCGTACTTCCGTGTTTCCTGGGGTATAAGATACTGAAGCAATAAGGACGGAAACCGATTTACTGATTTAAGATTAACGCCACTCTGACGGGCCGTCGACGCTGGTGTAGAGCTTGAATTTCAAATTAGCCATTTCTTGTTTATTTATTTTTATCAATAAAAAAAATTATATTGTGGTAATTAACTCTTATATTTTTTACATATAAAATCTCTACTAATTTTTTTGTTGACTATAGATATTTAAAGATAATAATCTATTCCTTAAAGGGCATATGTGAAGTAATTATTGTGCATTGTTTTTTCTTTGAATATTGTTCAATAATGTATGCTTAGCCTATTCGTGCAAAAAAAAAAAAAAAAAAAAAAAATCGAAGAGACCCTCTGGTATCCCCCAAAATCCCATAGCAACGCCCTTAGGAACGAAGATGCAAAACTCGGCGGTCTTCGGCAATCCCCGGTTGTGACGTCATTCCCAGGACCAGGGAGAATCTTGCTGAATAGCGTGATACACACAGTGCACCCGCGAGTCAAGGATATCATGGAATTGTCCCAATGTCAAGCTATTGAAGTTTGTAACAAAGAGATGTCGCGGTGTTGTGTAGCAATTCATTGTTCCCATTCATGTCACCAGCTATTTGAATGGCCAGAAGACCGCGACAGAGCAAGGAAGTGGACACGTTTTGTGCATGCCAAGCGGAGCAACTTTCAGCCTGTGCCAACCAGACTTGCCTGAACACTTCGAGCCCCGATTGTTTTGCGAACAGAATGGCTTACGACATGGGATTTGCAAAATGGTAGGCCATTTCCAATTTATATTTGTCATGATCACAACAGCGCAAAACAAACTCTGAAAGAGCTTGGCGGCGTAGCAAACATTCATTGCGTGGGTACGACACAGTGTGCCCACTGTATTGCAAGTCTGCATGTATTACTACACATAGGTAAGGTAGGTATACCCCAATAGTACAACACAAATATATACCGATGCCCCTCCACCACTCGCGAATGGATGTAGGCCTACGCCATGAGTGCAGACTAGAGATAGCTCAGCCTGCAGAAATTTTGTACCATACAGAAGTGGGATCACATGTTCGACAAAAAATAATTTAGAAAATTACCATTCATTCAATCTCTTCGGGTCTCGACGCCACTCCATGTCTGGCTGGTTTGGCACAACTTCCACGACATCCAGTGTCGGGCTCGTGCATGTACGGTCCAACAACCATCAACCATTGATATTTCTCTTCATCCAACTCTTTGAAAATGTAGGCACCCTCTGAAGAACTTATACTAATGTACTCGTCGGAATAATCCGCTGAAACTTAATTGCCGCTGTAGTCTTGTAGTGAGTCCGCCATGTACAATGTACTGAATGCAGAGAATGCTGTGATCGTGTTCTGGACGTCACACATCCGGGTTCCGGATTTTCGCGGGAAAATATAACTTGACCGGAAAATCGAAAAAAATCAATTTTGGGATATTATTTTATTTTATTTTTTACTCTTATTAGAGATATGGTTTGCAAGCGAATTCTCCTTTTTTAAAATTTTCAGTTGTTACTTCACATAAGCCCTTTAAGCGAATCACAGACCATGGCCTTTAATTACACCTTGAAAAGCCAAGAGTTACCCGAAGAAAAGTGACACGATTTGGCCCAGATAGCTACGTGCCTGGCGAGACCATCTCCTATACAAGGCCAGTCGAACCAGGCCTTTACAAGGTGCATAAGTTGAACAGCGTCTATATCACTGAAAGGGTTGTGCAAAAAAGGATCTGTGAAGTTTCATTTATATCCTTGGAACATACTTCCCAACCATCATAATGGTTTCTTCCAGGTTCCAACTTACATATGGGTCTTGCTATATTTAATTTTGGTGAAAAAAAACTATCAAAAGTTCTAGAATTACACAAGGGTCATTTGACCATAACCTTAATCCCTCATAAAAAAAACGGTAAAAATCGCCACTGACAAGAATTCAGCCTAAACAGAATATTAGGTTCTTTGTTCCAATCAGCATCGTCTCAGGTCAAGGTATAGTTTTATGAAGTCTAACCCTTCTAACGAGGCTTACCGAACTAGCATTTTTTCTGTGGGAATTGTTTCAATCGCTTGCGCACTATTAATACCGGCAGAGCTATTCCAAAAGGTCAAATTTAACCAGCAGGACTACCCGGAGCTGCTGTGTGACCATCTGCCCGAGTCTTCCAAGCACGCCAAGGACAGCATCTAGCAGCAAGATGGTGAGAGAGAGAGAGAGAGGGGGGGGAGGGAGGGAGGGGAAGAGAAAGAAAGAACGCTCATCTCCACCTCTGTCTCCCATTCCCTTCGCTTCCTCCACCTCCCCATCTTTGTCTTCAGGACTCGAGGACTGGACGGTACACTTTATAAAGGACTGGCCGAGGAATAATCCAGCTCTGAATCCTATTGAAAACTCGTGGCACCTTATCAAGAGGGATTTACAGAAGGCCATCATGTATGTACCCAAGCTTAATGCGTCAGTTAGTGAGTCCTGGGCAAGATCTCACATGATACCCTCAAGAAATTTGTCTATCACCCTTGAAATTTTCAGACTGTAAAGATGTGAAAAGGCAACCCTACCAAGTATTGAAATATAGATCTAAACACATTCTCGTATATAAATTCCTCAATGAATTCACTGATAAGCAAAGTCAGAAAGCAGGGATACTTTTGACGAGTATTGTATGAATTTGAACATATAGTGCTCCATACAGACTACTTTGCACTAACCTTAAAGTTCTTCTTCAGGTATGCCATAAGCTCGAAAGCGAACTGGTGGCCGGCGTCAAAGTGCATGATGGCGTTGTTGGCCACTTTGCCTTCTTCGTCGTAAGAAACCATGTTCCGTATGTGGGTAAGGTTCCTCACGCAGATACAGTCGGTGTCGCTGTTCAAACCTCCCCACAGCCACAGCAGCACATTTCTCAGCAAGTTGGATACGTTGTTCGCAGGCCAAGCTGTAGAAAGTAGGAAAAGTTTCATTTTTTACTTGCCGTTAGTTTGTTTAGTTATTTACTTCCACACACACATACATGTGTGTGAGGGGAGGGGGTGGTAGATAGATATATTTACGTATGTGCGTATTATATATATATATATATATATATATATATATATATATATATATATATATATATAATGTGTGTTTGTATATATATACATGTGTGTATTTTTGTGCGTATCTGTGTGTATGTGTTCATGTGTGCTACTCTTTTAAAGTAAGATTCGACAGCATTTCTATATCTCTACTCACGTGTATTGTGCGCCCATTTCCCTGCCATGAATATCTTCTCGCACGGAGTTCCATTGAAAATCTTGGTGAGGTCAGTGCCTACAACCTTCAGGTTCTCGTAGGCCTCCTCGAGGTTCGTGATGAGGC